TATTTTTTGGTTGCAGCCGTCATTGTTGTTTGGCGGGTCCGGGCTGGGGATTCGAACCCGCCACCTTAGGTGTACGTGGCTGGCACCTTAGCTGGGTAAGCTATAGGCGCCGAGCCAAATTGACCTAATTTTCATAGCTTAGACATGCACCACATATACTCAACTAAAGTTCCTTGTGTTGACCGCCTCTGTGTATTTACCAGTTTGTTACAGTCCTTTGGGTGGTCAACTTACATTCTGCTGTATTGTGTTTTCTTTGTGTCTTGGTGAGTGTAGGCATATTTCCTTTTATAGTGTGGAGTGTGCTGGTAAAACCTGCCCTTTGGGTGGGTGAGGGTAGGGGAATCAGCATTTTCTGGGTTTCCATGGTTTGACTATTTCCACTGTTGCCAAATTGAAGCTGCCAGGGGGAAACAGCTCACAGAATTCTAGCCATTGGGTTTAATGGGTGATGCAAGGCAGTTCCAAAGCACTATGGGAATGACCTTATCACAATTTTATATAAAAGAATAGCACAGTCTAGCTCGGCACCTGTAGCTCAGTGGCTAGGACACCAGCCACATACACTGGAGCTGGCGGGTTCAAATCCAGCCTGGGCCTATTAAACAACAAGGACAACTACAACCAAAATATAGCCAGGCATTGTAGCAGGCGCCTGTAGTACTACCTGCTTTGGAGGTTGAGGCAAGAGAATTGCTAGAGCCCCAGGGTTTGAGGTTGCTGTAAGCTGTGACGCCACAGGGCACTCTACGCAGGGTGACATAGTGAGACTCTGTCTCAAAAAAAAAGAAAAGCACAGTCTATCCAGCCTACAAGGACCTAATAGTCCTTGAACTCCACAGTCCCTGACTTGTGCTGAGACGGGCAGCCTTTTAGGATGAGGTGGATGGCACTCTGGGTGGAGGCTCATTTTCTCTGGGACGTGCAGTAGGCGGCATTTTGCCCCAGGGCAGCATCTGACCACATATGATACAATTGTTTTTTCAGTTCTGGGAAGCAGTTTGTTCGCTATATAAACATGCTAATAAATGACACGACATTTTTGCTCGATGAAAGTCTGGAGTCCCTGAAGCGGATCCATGAAGTGCAAGAGGAGATGAAGAATAAGGAGCAGTGGGAGCAGCTGCCCCGGGTAAGGCCCCGCCCGCCGCGGGGAGCCCTCCTGCGCAGACGCAGCTTGCTTTGCGGGCTGCATTTGTGAATCTAATGTCATTACATCTGACTTTGGTTGGGATTTTCCTCCTATGACATTGTGTCCCAGGTTTGTGGTAGAAAAAAATGTAAAACCCTTTTTCTGAAGTTAAATATGTTGAGAAGTCTTTCAAAATGGGTCCCCAAAACTTTCTCTGCCTTTTTAATTTTAAAGGGCTTTTTTGGAGAAGAGCTTTTATTATCTGAATATATTAAGATCCGTGAATATGGGTGAGGAAGTAACTCTCTAGAATTCTGTCTGGCGGACAGGAGTTTGATTTGGTCCTCTTGGTCTTCTCTACACAGCTGTGAGGCTCACCTGGAATTCTAGGGAGGGGGTTCCTTGAAATTGATCTTGGTCTTTATGTTCAGTTCTTAATAGAAAAGAGACTTGGTTCGTTCGCCAGGTTCCATGAGAAATGTGTGCGGCCCGTGGCTGTACGCTGCCCCTTCTGACATGGATTGCAGCCATTTAGATGGTTCTCTGGTCAGTAATTAAGCCCTTGACAGCTGCTGGTGACTTCACATATTGGTTAGTTCTGTTCCTGGTGTTGTCGGGCTCAGAATCAGAACTACTTTCCAAAAGGGGTTCTCATGTCAAAGTGAGGAGGCCTGCTTCACTCAGAGTAGCATTCTCCCAAATACAGCAGAGACTCCTTAGTCGGCCACCTCCTTAAATTCACCTAATTTTCACAGACCAACATACACCACTTGTATTTATCAGTACAGTAGGCCTACTTCCTTATGTTGACCAATGTATGACAGTCCTTTGGGTGGTCAACTTAAAGAGGTTCTACTGCACATGTTACTGTAGCCAAAATGCTTAAAGTTCAAATGCAAACCACACGCAAGGCTTTGCCCAGGGCCTGTGATGCTTCTCCTATGCCTATGCCACCCCACTCCTGGATCATCAAGAGCTAAAAAGAATAAAGTTCAGTAATCTGGAAAATGTGTTGACTTGGGTTATTGTATTACTCCCTAAGTATGTTGGCTTTATTACACACTTTTCCAATTATGATTGTATTCTTGAGATAATGTGGTTGTCATCTTTTTTCTTGGTATTAGACCAGTACCCACTGGCATCCCTCCTGCTTACTTCCGTCATGTATTTTTTCCTTTTTTTTTTTTTTTTTTTTTGAGATGGGTTGGGTCTCACTACATTGCTCAGTCTGGTCTTGAACTCCTGGCCTCAAGTGCTCTTCCCACCTCAGCCTCCCAAAATGCTGGGATAGTAGGCTCATTCTTGAACAGGGAATGGCCAGCAGGCCACCCAGCATCCCTGCAGGGTTGCCCCTAAGTACAGATTGCAGCACTTAGCCAGAGGGCCTCACTGGGCAGCTTCCATTGTCCCGGCTGCCTTCCCAGTCCCCAATGAGGAGAAGCCCTGGGGCAGATGTAGGAATTTGTGTCCTTGCTGATGGATCCGCATTTTACCTGTTTCCAAGCCCTCAGTGTTCCACTTGATTTTACCCATGAATGAACATAGCCTTTCCTGTCTCCTCTCCTAGCCCACAGCACAGTTGAGGCGGGAGGAAGGTGCCAGAGGCAAGCATGCTGACTGTCATAAGGGGTGACAGCCTGAATGGAGAAAGACAATTCAAAGAGCTTGGCAGCCTACAGGCACTTGGTGTTGGGGCAAACCTAATAGGCCTCAGTCCCCGGGCACGATGCTCCTCGTGGTTTTAAGAGTTGTTACCGGCTCAGCGCCTGTGGCTCAAGCGGCTAAGGCGCCAGCCACATACACCTAAGGTGGCGAGTTCAAATCCCCAGCCCAGGCCCGCCAAACAACAATGACGGCTGCAACCAAGAAATGGCCGGGCGCTGTGGCGGGCGCCTGTGGTCCCAGCTACTTGGGAGGCTGAGGCAGGGGACTCGCTTGAGCCCAGGAGTTGGAGGTTGCTGTGAGCGTGATGCCATGGCACTCTACCCAGGGGGACAGCTTGAGGCTCCGTCTCAAAAAAAAAAAAAAAGTCGTTACCATTAGTCCCAGTGGGTGTCGGGTACTGTGATAGACATACTTACTTCATCCTGCATGGAAGTTGATGGTGAGTTCTTTTATCACTGAGGAAACTGAGGCTCTTTGCAGCTGAACAATACACCAGAGTCACCTGACTCCCAGGACCTAAGACGTTCTGATGCCAGAAGGAATAAACTTCAGTTTATCTGGGAAATTTGCTAACGTGGGCCCTGGGTACGTTGGCCTTCTTTCCCACTTTTCCAGTTATGAGCTGACCGTGGTTTTCCGTCACACTGGGCATTGGGGAGCTGATGACAAATGCAGAGATTGATCTGGCCTCTGTTGGATGTTTCCTAGGATCAGCAGCAGGCCCGCCAGTCTCAGCTCGCTCAGGACGAGCGCGTTTCCCGCTCCTACCTCGCCCTGGCGACGGAGACCGTGGACATGTTCCACATCCTCACGAAGCAGGTCCAGAAGCCGTTCCTCAGACCGGTCAGTAGAAACCACAGGCGTTGGTTTGTCCGTTGAATTCCACTTTCAGACTCTATCACTTACGACTTCACATAGTTGTTGAAGTCCTGGGAATTTCAGTGTCACAGTCACCCATAGTGAAATTATTACCAATTTCATTCCCAGCTGTGCTAACTGATACGCACAGTACTGTTGTTAGACTAAAGGGAAGAAGGCCAATGTCACTGCATAGTCTGGTCTCTGCCGGGATGACTTGACTCACTTTCTGCTTAGACAGTATATTGGGTTATTTGTTGAAATTGAAGCATGGCAATATTATGATGTGGAAGTTATGCCAGACTTTTATCATTATTGATTCCTGTACTTTAATTATAGGAAAAGTATACAGTCACGTCAATTGGTTACAAAACCAAAGTATATTAAGTAGGACAATTGATAACATGTAAGGTCTCGGTTCTCTTACATGTGACTTTGTCAGACTGAAGAAGCCAAAGCTAATGAGAACCAGAGTTAGGGCTTACAGCAGATCAAAGGGAGTCAGAATGTTTGGCCTTGACCTGACTGATGAGACCTGGGTCCCGTTTGTGAAATCAAACTGAAGATTCTGCTTTGCTTGGACCACCCACACCATGAATCTGGTGTGGCCAGAACAAAGATAGTGAGGAAGGTAAGAAAGGGACCCAAGAGTCAATAGTTAATTAGTTATTTGCTCTGCGGAAGCAAGTTTATTTAGAATGGGACATAATTTTACTCCATGCTTCCTGGATTTTCTATGTTCCCATAACCTCCGTCACATGATGCATTGTGTCTTTGCCAGCAGAGGCATCATCACCACCCCCTGGCCCGTGTACAGCTCAAGAGATGAGGCTGTTCCTTTATTTCCCTTTCCATCTCTCTTCATAAACAGATTTCAGCGCAAGAGCAGTAGAGTGTGAAACAAAACAGTGCCCCCTGTTCAGACATTCGCTTCCCTTAAAGGTTTGCAAAATGGAATTACTTTAGACTTTTTCTCTATCGGCCAGATAGTGAATAGTTTAAAGGCATCATGGACCAATGGTCTCATTTGCAACTACTCAGCTTTGCTGTTGAAGTTTGAAAGAATCACAGGCAATACAGAAACAAATAAGCATGGCTATATTTCAGCAAAACTCCACTTACAAAAGGAGGCGTTGGGCTGGAATTGGCCCACAGACAATGTTCTGCTGATCCCTGCTGTAACTCATCTTTTATTTTACACTCAGTGACACTAAGGGTAATACTGTTTGATTGTTAGAAGGTAAACTATTTTAAAGCCTATTTTGGTTCTAAATTTTTCATTTTGTAAAGAAAACTATCGAAAGCTAAGCCTCGTATTTTCATGTCAATTAAAATTTTTAAGGCTTATTCATAGACGCTGTTCGTTTGTTCCCAGGCTTGTGCCAATTCCTACTCCGATGTTTTTATGTCCTTTGCTGTTTTCACCTTCTTTACTGGCTGACTCAAAACTCTCCTACTTAAAAAAATATTACCAATTCTATTGTACACTTATCTCTCCTTTATTGCACAATTTCTCAATAAATGCAGGGGTACTTTGCTTTGTACTAAAGCAGATAGTTGAATACTCTCTAGTCTAAGCCAGATTTTCCTAACAAGTTTTGCTGAAAGCCACTGATGCCCAGCTGTAGTGGGTACTGTGTCATCAACATGCCAGATGTTACTTTATCATTATTTTCTGTGGGTTTCGTTTAAGTCTACATTGTCTCACCAGCTAGATTTTAGACTATTCAAGACATAAAGTCTATCTCCTTTTGCATTTCTTTACTCCGTGTCTGATATATAAATAAGAGTGGCACACACTGCGTGAAGTGTCAGGACTCTCGACGCTGACGGAAGAACAGTGCGTGAAACGATGGCTGGCGAGGCAGACTCGAGAAGTTTGGTGACTCAGATGATGGTGGAATCTGAGTGCTTCTCTCTAATCCATGTTTTCTCCATGAATTAAAAGCATAAATTTAAAGAAAAGGTTGGCCTTATGTTGGTATTTATAAACACATATTCTATCAACCTCCAATACTCCATTAAGTATTAGAATTAATGAGAAGAATATTTTTTAAAATGTATTAGAGTTCTCAGATCAGAAATGGGAAGTAAAACGAGTTCAAATGCAGTGTTGTCTTTTGTCAACATAGGATAAGCCGAGCATATAAGGGTTTCTTTAATGATCAATCCAGCCAGTTCTCATTCCCCCGCTGAAATGGGAGTTTTTGCTTCTTTTTGTTTGCCTCAAAAGCATGAATTGTCCTATTATCCTGTGATTTTCTAGGAACTTGGACCCCGATTGGCTGCAATGCTGAACTTTAATCTTCAGCAACTCTGTGGCCCCAAGTGCCGTGACCTGAAAGTTGAAAACCCTGAGAAATACGGCTTTGAACCAAAGAAGCTGTTGGACCAACTGACGGATATTTACTTGCAGCTGGACTGTGCTCGGTTCGCTAAAGCCATTGCTGATGACCAGGTCAGTGCCAGGGGAACAGAGCCCTTTCAGAGGGAGTCTGGGGTTCAGGGTGCTGAACTGGGCCATTTGAGTCGCCTCTCTGTGGATTTACAGGCAAAGTACAAACTCCATCCATCCTGGAGTTTCCTCACGTGAAATGAAGGAAGACAATGACACTTGTCTAATCATAATTCGAGAATTTTTTAATATGAAATTGGAAATAATGACCACAATAATGGCAGGAGAAGTGGTCTGGGATAAAGAAAGATGAATTGGTTGTTTTCCTTTGAGTGATAAGAGCAGATTAGTCTCCATATCATTGTCAGTTAGGTTTTTACCCCATTTTGCTAAAGGGCCTTCTTTGACAAATCCACTACATTCCCCAAAGAGCCCAGTTTTCTCGGGGAATCCAAATCTTCTTCCCGAGTGTCTGCTTTGGTGCTGTTATTTCTGTGGTCTTCCAGGCTTAAAACCTTGTCATCTTCACATTCTTCCCTCTCCTTTATTCCCCAGGTCCCCTGTGAGCAGATTCCTTTCATGGGCTCATTTCCACAGCAGCCAGTTCAGTCCCGCTGCCTCTCCCCGGTCTTCCTGGCTGACTTTCTGGGAATCTCAGAAAGGGCTTCCCCTTCTTCTTGGGCTTCATGATAGCTAATGTTTATTAACTGGATACCATATTTCAACCCCTTCATATTTTCATTCATTTATTTCTCCCCAAATTTTATGATACATGCAGATTGTAATAAATTCCTTATTTTGAAATGAGGAACCTGAAACTAAAGATAAATAGCTAAACAAGGTCTGAGATTTGGGTTGAGATAGAGGCAGGTTTTATGCCCTGGCAGGCTGGCCCTGAGCCCGTATTTTCAACCCCTCTGAGTCCACTTAAAATGCCCAGAAAGTGTCATACTTGTTTCTGCATCCCCGTCTTTGTTCACACTGCTTACCCAAACATTATTCATAGCTGAGGTTAATTACTAACAAGTATTCTAGAAGGTAATTTACCCAAATCTCATTCAAAGGAACAATGTTAAAATAGAATGGCTCGGCACCTATAGCTCAACCGGCTAAGGCGCCAGCCACGTACACCTAAGGTGGCGGGTTCAAATCCCCAGCCCGGACCCGCCAAACAACGATGACGGCTGCAACCAAAAAATAGCCGGGCGTTGTGGCAGGCGCCTGTGGTCCCAGCTACTTGGGAGGCGGAGGCAAGAGACTCGCTTGAGCCCAGGAGTTGGAGGTTGCTGTGAGCTATGCCATGGCACTCTACCCAGGGGGACAGCTAGAGGCTCTGTCTCAAAAAAAAAAAAAAAATAGAATTATAGGTACTTTTTTAATAACAACTTCAAGCTAAAATTTATGCATATAGGTCCTTTTTCTTTTTTTGGCCGGGGCTGGGTTTGAACCCGCCACCTCTGGCATATGGGGCCTGTGCCCTACCCCTTTGAGCCACAGGCGCCGCCCTATAGGTCCTTTTTGATACAAGCGAGGGAAGCAGTTGTAACAAAGTACCTGTAAGAAGGGGAAAAACAGTCGTGTGACAGAGCACATACACAATGGTAGTCTTATAAATTTATGACACTGTACTTTTACCGTGGCCTTTTTATGTTCAGGTGTGTTTTAGTGTGCAGATACCATTTGTGTTACAGTTGCCTACGGGTGTTCAGTACAGTAGCCTGGAAGCAGTGGGCTAGCCCACGCAGACTGGGTGTGTGGTCGGCCGCACCGTCCAGGCTGAGTGAGTGCACTCCCTGGTGTCCACATAGTGATGAAATCCCATAAGGATGCATTTCTCAGAGCCACGCGTGACTAAAGCAGTTTTCCATAAAAAGTCGTGGTAAATGAGGGGGTTAGGAAATTGTAGTTACTTGGGGAGACGTTAAAATATAGGCTGTTTTTCTAGCCTACAACTATATGGTGCGGCACATACTTAGAAATGGAAGACAAATGTGGTCTGTAGAGAGATAAGACGAGCGGTGCGCCCTCTGCCCGCATCAAGGTGGAGTCTACAGCCAGTGACAGGATGTGCAAGTCCCCAGGGTGCGTCCATCTTTGCTGTGAGAGATGTGGGCATTGTTCAACCTCCTCCTCCCCACCCCCAGCGGGTCTCACTGTGGCTGCCACAAGGGGTTGACGTAACACAAATAGTCTGCAGCGTGGATGAGCACAGCACACCCAGTGAGATCCTGAACACTGGGCCGATGACAAAGGAGTGTTCAAACTGCCTTTGCTTGGTGACTAACACAAGGTTTCCGCTGCCTGGTCATGCCTGTGGATTTTGGTGGCGGCCCATGGTGGCACCTGGCTTGAGTCATTTACAGCAGCTTCTGCTCAGTGGCACACAGCTCTCCTTGAACATCTGTATAGCCCTGTTCCCCCAGACTCATGAGGCAGACCAGCACGTGCCTGTGACACAGGCAGAGGAAAGCAGTTCTGAGCGGGGTTTGCTTCCCTTCACAGTGTGGGGTTTGTGCTGATCATTGGGCGTTTCCTGTTTCTGCTGCCTGGAAGCTGATGGGGCCGCCTGCTTGATTGTGTTACGGAGGGTTTGCCAGAGGGTGACAGGACAGATAGCTAGAAAGCACCACGGAGAGGTAGCAGGGCTTCATTCTCTCCTTGGGAAGCAGGATCTTAGTTTGTTTTAGATTGATTTGGTGTGTCTGGTTTTCCTGGCGAGACAAAGGAAGAAAAAGGTGACAAGTTTTCAAGGAAAAAAACTGAGAGGCTTCTCTCCCTGTATACCAAGAGTGGCCTGAGACAGGTGTCCAGGAACTTGACCAAAAAATGCCAGGACGAAGAGCCACTGACTTGACATTCAGAAACTGAGTGAAGGGCCCCCAGGTCCGGACTGGAAAGCAGAGTTGGTCCCTGGAGCTGAGAACCCAGGATGAGGGATTAGAGTGACTCAGGTGGTGCTGGTGGCCTGTGCTTTTCTGGGAAGGTGCCAGGTCCACGGACAGAGCCCCATTCCAGTGTGGTCCGTTAACTCCATTCTCCATTTAGAAAATTAGAGAGAGGCTC